CTTTTCAGTGATCATCCCTAGAGCCGCGCAGACTTCGTCCTTCCATAGGGTCCAACCTTCAATGAATTTGTCTCCAAGGTCTGTTCAGAGTCATTGAGAACACTTATGCCACAATCGCCTGCGGCATCTCAAATCAATATTGTATGCAGACCAGTAATCCTCGTTAAAGCCAACTAGCCCCACCTGCTCGTAAAGGAAGTTCCAAAGCTTCAGGACAAAGCAAGATTAACTTTACTGTATATTAGCCGACTGTCCCAAACAGATATGTCCTAAATCCTTTTCTCACAGATGATCAGCCAACAAGACCTTATACTTAATCACTAATTGCGGAAAGCTGTGGTAACCCCATCCTCGCTTGGTCCCTGGAAGTGCAAAGATTTCTGTGTCACTATGTCCTTTGAAATGTCACACACAACATCTGGTCAAAGACATAACATGCAAGAGATGGAAATCCTAGAAGAACGCAGACACAGGATGGGTGTGCCATAATACTTGATCCATGTTGGGCATGTGTTTATATACAGCGATTGACTGTAACGTAACAGTTATCGTATTACCATGTCATTTCCTTTTCTCGCCTTAGCCCTCTCCAGTTTTCCTCAAGATTCGCCTGATCTTTGAGCTTCATGTATTTTAAACTCGGAAAGACCACAGGAATGGAACCATTCTATGATGTTTGTTATGAGTCACTAGAGAGAAACCGATCTGCTTAGCTTGCGCATTCTTTCCACTGACATTCACTGGTGCCTTGATCTATTATCGCTCTTCACAAGCTGTACCAATGAACAGTGGTTTTCTCCATGGAATATATTCTCGAATGAAGATTAACTGACCAGAGGCAGTAAATTCGACCTAGGCTGGTTACCTTTCAAGCAGATCAAGTAATCTCTATCACAGCCTAAAGTATACTTGGGATTGTTGTGCTATGTAATACTCAAAGAGGGCGTTGTACCAAAATCTCTAATATCTCAAAAAGATTTGTGACGTAGCGTTCTCAATGTCCAGCCTCAGTTCTGACGAGTTAATGCTGCCTCATCCACCTTTTAAATTGATTCCTTCAACTACGCGGTAACTTTCGCAGTCGCCTATTTCAGGCAGAATGTGTTGTGGGGTACCTCAACCCTTGCTCCTCAATCCCCCAGCCATTCCTATGAGATGTGTGATGGACAACGCAATCAGCAACCACTTTCACATTCAATGGACCTACTGGTACGCAGCACAGACCAAAACCTCGACGTATCTGTTGCCTCAAGAGCCATCGCCAATGCGCTACTAACAATCTCAATGTCCCTTTCCTTCTGCCCCTTGCACCAGATAGTGCACACATCACTAGCTGAAGCATGTATCAGCGACATGATATGCGCAATCAGTTGGCTGTGTATGTAACAAGTTGACCGAGGACGATTGCGTACTGTCAGTCTGTCATATTTTGACTACGTGTATCTACTACCTCAGTGAAACTTCCAAAATTTTCCAGAGTCTGAAAGTTGTACATTGTTATCTAATAAATCTTTGCCTGAAATACTACCTCTCAAAATTGACTACTCTTGAGAAAATAGCCGAGATATTTAAACTCATTATCGGTGCTCACCGCGAGCTGAATCCTCCGAAGGAAAATAGGTCTCGTGCCCCTATGACAAATTTAGGTTCCAAACCATGCCCAATTCATCGCTGACTTAAAACACGCCAAATCGACTCTAATCTTGTTCAAATCGACCAAAGAAAGGTCAAAGATATGCAAAGTCAACAGTTTTCGTCACTCCTCTTACCGCCCATAATTGGGGGGGGTTTCACCGGTTTCAAGATTCTTTGGGCTCCTCATAAAAATGCCTTAGTAGAACATATGAACCCGATTTGATACCTCAACATAATGTCTTTTCATAAATTTGCCAGATAATATGTGCATAACCTCACTGACTATCTAATATCAACTTCTACGCCGTTGGCAAGTGTCTATGTAGCTCTAGTTAACTATATGCCGCTTACATGAATCTGCCCGCGTCTTAATAGATCGACCTTTCATGGGGTCATGCACATGTATCTCAACTTATCCCGTGATTTATACCCGACTATCATAAAACGATCGTGGAGGCATATTAATGCCTTTCTTATCCGAAGTGAATAATTTCCTTAATTATAGCCGTACTAAAAATTGGGGGAACCCGTTCTATACTGTATCCGTTGGCAATTATGGTATTTCTTGTCTCGGTATATTCTTGTGAACCAAACAATTACGATTTCCGAACTTCAAACTGTCCTTATTTCTTGCGCTCGCTTGCGGCAGCGCCATTCAGCGGGAACTTATGTATTTCCTCATGTGTTGATGGTGCGGTCGGGATGTGTGACAAATGAACATTGTTGTTGTCCAAGTATACAAATAAGCCGAATCAAAACGCTATGTAAATTATTTTTGTCATTGAACTATGAACAAATTACTATGTTAATTTGTTACTTGACAACAAAAGTTGTCCACAACCAACACAACCCACGCCCTACCCTCTACATGCGGAAAAACGATAGCTCCCGCTGACTTGTCTGAGTACGTTTTGGTTCCATCTGCATCCCCATGGCGTCTATAGGCCCAGCGGCATTCCCACTGTAAAACGGCGCTGCGTAATTTTTTTTTGCCTTAAACCAACATATCCAGTCGAAACTCTGATTGATTGTGATTGTTATCAATCACCTTCTCTCCTGATTTGGTCATAAACCATCATGTGCGGCTTTATTTTAGCAGATGTCATTCTTATTTCTCATGAATCTTTTCTGGCGTAATGATACATTCACCAACTTTAATGTCTGAAAGTCGTGGTTCGAACGCCTTTGCTTTTAATTATTTTTTTTCCTGTATTAGTTAAGGTTAGTTAGGGTTTAGTTAGGTTAGGATTACGGTTAGTTAGGGTTAGGGTTAGTTTAGGTTTAGGGTCATAATCATATCTATATCGTCCTATATGATACATCAATTATAAACAGCCAATTAGAGGAGTTCCAAAATTCTGGCATGGATATGTTGTTAGTAAAATAAAAATTCGCAAGCGCTATAGCTACTAAGCTTATTATGTCTCATGCAGTTTGCACACAGATGATACACATGAAATCCTTACTACTTTTTATAGTATATATTATAGGTATATATATATATAACTTTTTACATACTACATATAGCCGTGCAGTACCTTTCTGTGTGAATATTGACTATATACACACACGTACGTATATATACGCACGCACACACACACATATATTATCAGGAGTGAATAATAATAGATCTATAAATAAGAGATGCTCCTGAAATTATATATTTGTATCATTGATAATTTGATTGTATATGTTTCAAGACGTTATAAAACTTATATTATTATATTATCTTACCTTCCTGTATAGGACAGCCTCACCAAAAGCTCCACGTCCTAGAACTTTTATTCTAACGTACAATTCATCATCTGATTTTACGGTGCTATCTATCATGGTAGACATAGTCACATACTCTCTACCATGGGACTCATACGATGCCGCCCAGGATCGCTATTTTATCTCCGCATACTACGGCCAAAACATTGAGAGACTGGGAACATCAGAGCCTGGACTAACGGCTAAGCTACCTGCGTGAATCCGTCCCAACTGCTCTGTCCCACAGATTGCCACAGATGAGTAGTGCAGCAGCTGTGTGCAGTCATACGTACAAAGTTAAAAGATTTATCATTTGCTTATACGTTCTGTCACGTGATTTGTACGTGTTTCCGTGCAGTGTCCAGTTGCTTCCTGGTAATTTGTATGTTTTGATGTAGGTGTATGTGTTTTGGTACTTTGATCGTCATATAGGCCATCTAAAATCGAGTGCTATTAATACTGGTAAGCCAATTTAGTCTGTTCATGATATCATCTAGTGCGTATACATACCGTAAATAGGAGTGGCAGACCTGATAACCATGTTTTCACCATTGCGCACACGCTAGTACTGGATCAGCTCAAGATAAAACTAAAAAAAGTAAAACTAAAACTAAATTAAAAAGATTACAACTAATACAAGATAGACTAGCTACTGCAACAGTGCTAACCTGTGCAGTATCTGACTATTAATACAGTGCTTCAAAGGATATCGGATCACTTCCTGCAAAATGCTAACTCAGTAACTGTTGATCCGCTATACCTTATAATTATATGATCCGTTATATCCCTTGAAGCACTGTAGTACTAACTCTAGTACTTTACTATAGCCCTTGTTGCCACAGACACAGTCATGCAGAAAGTGCAGCTGAAGGGGTCGTTAATTGTCGTATCAGGTACTACAGATATGTACCCGAGGTACATATATGCATACACAAAGTTGTACCAGGACTTGTACTTACAGAAGTGTACCCTACCCTAAAACATACCTACCTCATATAAAAATATAAACATAATACTAAACAACCTAAAACTACCTCGGGTACATGTATGTAGTACCTGATACGACAACGACCCATCTGCGAAAGTGCACCTGTGTCAACAAGGGCTATCTATAAGCAGAGCTATACTTACTATCTATTCAGACCACAAAGAGAGATTAATTTAAAAAGTTTGGTTACTATAAACATGATCTGACATCATCATCATTCATGCCTATCACAGACGATTGCATGTGGATGTCTATGACACAACAATCACAGGCAGCGTGATCAAGTGCGCCCTCACCATGCTCACGCTACAGCACAGTGAGCACGCACACACAATGAGCTTTTAACTCCAGTGTTCCTGGAGGTGACACTATGACTGCTTAAAATAAGCTATACTCGCCATTTTTGACAATCGAATCTGACTGCCAAAATGCATTCAACTCACAGAAATTCCTTTAATGGTGATGCAACTTACCACCGAATATTACACAACCAAAACAGGCACGGGCAACCATTAGCGGCTCAAGGATAGAGAGCATGTCAACGGATTTCCATGTAATTTACTGCGGAGAGCAAGTAGTATCAGTCCGTAAATGCGTTCGCAAAATATGAGATACATTGTGAGGGCCGTGCAGAGGAACACATGACGGAAATTCTCGCGCGTAGCAATGGTGAGAAACAGTCGGAAACGGCGGATGTAGTGTCGCCTACAATTGCAGTTTTTTCCACACTCCTGCTGACTTACATTAATGTTCTCGGTCGAATTAACAAACAAAAACACCCTCAACAACACGCTCTCCGATTTAAAGGGGTTAACCCCACATTGAGGAAATTACATAGGGTCTTATCGTGGACCATGCTCTGCTATCCCTTGACCACATTAGCAGCTGCCTGATTTTGGCCTGACTGCACAGCAAACTTTCTGCAGCCAAGTACCACTGCTGCAAGCCAGTTGCCATGCTGTCTTGCTTGTGTGACATTCGCCGGCACTAGGCGGGAGTAGACACCATGTGGTATAGTATATATATATATATATATATATATATATATATGATATATATATATAGATATAAATTCGTGCCCTACTAATTCGATACTACTAATAATGGCACACATAGGAACATTGGGTAAAATCGACTCAATAACATTGCCACACAATATCAAATATTTTACAAATCAGTCTAATAGACCCATGGGGTTGCCCATAGGTACGATACATACATACATACGACAAGCGCTCGGACACTAACTTTTTTTTTCGTGGCCCGATCGGGCCACCAATTCATTGATTTTCAATTTTTTGGTGGCCCGAAATGAATCTGGTGGCCCGAAAAAAAAACAAAGAAAAACATTATAAATCTTTATTTCAATCTCGTATTGATATTAATTTGAAAATTGCGGCCGTCTGATGCACTTGCACAAGTCTTTAAACAAACCCCACACAATCGCACACGCTGACATTGATCATTGAAGGCATACATTTGAATTATTCCATTCCACGGCATCAAATTTTTCACCAGTCTTGTCATACCATTTTTCTACTTTCACTCATTATTATTAAACACGCGCGCCTGCACATGCTATCGCATCAGTTCAGACGTTTTCAAGAGAGATCAAAGTCACAGAGCATGCTAAATATTAAAACAAGTAACTGTTAATAAAACAAACAACACATTGGCTTTTCATGTTTAAAAATAAAACACTATTACATTTAATCTCATGAAGTTAAATTCTGCAGGCTTGAACTGGTAAAAAATAACAAATATTGCAGATTATAGATAAAGTAAACCACTAATGTATATCAACAAAGGTTTTTAAAAAATAAAAAAAAAAAAAAAAAAGTAAAAATAATAAACAAAACCCTTCGGCGTACGAATGGCATTTAAAAAGAAAAACAGCCATGTCTAAGACTAAGTTCAATATTTCGTTGATAAAGAGACAGAGAAAATGCATAATAAACTTACAAAGCACTAATATTACACTTCGGATTAAAAATACTGATTCATCTTTCAGGGAATAGTTCAGTTTATTCTACGCGAACTTCGTAACGCTGGGCAGTTTCGCTTCGGGATTCCGAAACAGTGAGCACCTTTAGCAATCAGGGAGCTAGCTAGCTAGCAATTCAGGGTGGACAGACGTTCCGTATTTTGCCCATGTGTCCCGCGTCCGTACCGACCCTTCCCGCGGACGCATGTGTGCTCCCGTAGTTTTAAACATTTTGAAACAAAAGACATAAAAAAAGAAGAAATTCATTCATTTTTTATTATGATCAATTGTTTGCCTCNTATGTGCTGTACATCCACCACCTAGCCACACTCACTCACACGCGTACACAAAAATGCATGTAAACTGCAGTTATACTAAGGCCACAATTAAAAAAATATTTGTTTGCCCTCACATGACCCAGGCTGAAAAGTTAGGTAGGCTTTTTTAGGGGGGTCTTTTTACAAAATCAGCATGGTGTCTACATGCTCGGGTGTGCTTGTGTGGAGATACCTTTTATGTTGAATGTTTGTTTTGCTTGGTACATATAATGTATTGCCTACAGATTTATATAATGTACAGTGATACAATTTGAAAAAAAAAAGAATGGGAAAGATCAATAAAAATTTTTGAGTCGGCCCCTTTTTCGCGGGTCGGTCGGGTGAGGGCAAACAAACAATATTTTTATTATGGCCTAAAGGACATAAATTTTAAAGTGTCTGTGGGAAACGACTTGAAGATCCTATTAAAACTGAGGCCATGCATAGTTGACAACTGGCATCACTATTGGACATACACTTGGAGCATTTTATATGGATCAATCCAAAGAATTACATATATATATAATGCTAAAACGGATAGTGTTAGGGTTGGGAGGTGATTTGCGGTCGAAATTTCAATACCCACTTTATTTGATAGATCGCACCCAGGGGCAGCTATGTATAAGTAGAAATTATGTTTGTAGCCACCCAAACAGTTCCAAATCCCCGCATTAGTCAATTCTTAACACAGGCGTTCAATCATGGGAAATTTAGAAAAGTGCTAATATCTCCATTGTTAGAATGCTGAAGTTGCTGATTTTTCAAACGCTATTTCTCGAAAGCTCGCAACTCCGATTCCAAAATTTTTTGTTACGTTTCAATGCTAACATATATCAAAGGAAAAAAGGGTCCTTGGAATTTAAAAAAAAAAAGATATTTTATAAGTTATGGCTCTTTGTTTACGAAATTGTTGCATTTTGAAAATCACTACAAATTTTCGTACATCTTTTAACTTATTTCCTAAATTAAATCATTTAAAAAAATTCCAGGTACCCCTTTTTAGTTCATATATTATGAACAACTTATGGTTAAAAGTTTAGGTCCCAACTCTTTGCTGTTTCTGAGAAATAAAAAAATTATTTTTTGGGTATAAATTCACAATTTTTGCCGTCACTTAATTAACAATGAATTTAAAAAAAAATTCCACCGAGAGCATAGAGAGACATCTCTCTTATGTAATGGATATGAGTTTGATTGAATTTGAAAGGCAGTTATGTTGCAATGCCCTTTACAGTGAGTGTTACCCATTCGTAACCCTAACACTAACAGTATCCTTCAGAAATGACTTTTTATGTTTCACATTCACATTCTGTCATGTCTAAGGCTCTTGTCAGACAACAAACAGACACACGGAAAGCTACTAACAGAACAATTAAGACATAAAGCTATAAGAAATCTCATTAGTAAAAAATTTATTGTTGATCATATTTCAGCTCTAACAGGCCGTTGTTGCCTATGTGGTACTGTCAAAGCAAAATATGCATTGGACAGTTCACTTGGAAGGTGGGCCACGACGTGTCAATCATGCAGCGGTTGCCATTGGTGACAAGATATACAGTTTTGGTGGCTATTGCACAGGAATTAACTATGAAGTGACCCGGCCCATGGACATTCACATGCTTCATACAGGTTGGTAATAAATTTGTCTATGCAGGTAAAAATATGGTGTGTGTGCATAAACATGCAACATGAGGAAGGGAAGGGAGAAGAGAGTCAGATGGGCAAGAAGGAAAGAGAGTAGGGGGCAGGGGACAGAGGGGAAGAGAGGAGTAGGAATGGAAAGGAAAGAAATGAGTGTCGGAGGGAGAACACAACAGATCTAATATTTTGCACTCAGAAGCATCTCCGAGGTGAATGCTTAATGTGTTTGTATTATTTAATAAATTATTGTAGTGCCTACTGTAGATTGCACCTTATGTAGGCAGCCGCCACGACATTAGTTGTGGGTGCTAATTTATTCCTCTTATGTTTATGCTTGCAGCAAGCTACCGATGGGTTCTTCTGACGATCTCTAATCGGGAAGACCCTGACCTTGACCAGGTCCCGTACCAGCGGTATGGCCACACTGCGGTTGCCTACAACAATTGTGCATACATCTGGGGTGGCAGAAATGACAAGGAGGGATCATGCAATGTTCTATATTGCTACAATCCTAGTATGTATAGGGGCATGGTGAAATTATGGAATGTTTCCTGTTAGGTTTTTATATAGGTTTGTCATACTAGTTGTGACATAATACTAGTAGTGTAGTAGGCACTGCTTCACGTGTTTATATACAGTAACTTGTGCTTTTAAATAATTATTACCACTCATTCAATTTGTCCTAGCTAGACAGATGCTGTGTTTACTTGTGTGAGGTAAATGGAATGGCAAGCGGTTATCCACAACTGTAACTTGGTACACATAGTTTACTGGGTTCTCCCCAGAAGGCGTTTCAGAAGGCATGTCATTTATGGGCAGATGGGGAAGGGCCTGGGAAGGGATTGTACCAACTGGAGGCAATAACCTGTGTCATAAGCAGCCCTAATAAACAGTCAAACTTGATCAGTTTGGAGACGTATACATCTAGCTGTAAAAACACAGTATACCTATAACTGCGTTGGGATTGTCAAAAGTAAATCCAGCTGGAAAATATGCCATGTTGATTACGACGATTAGGCAGTTAAGGCATGTCATTGGATTTATGGGATGTCGCAAATTTAATTAGTTACAGCTAGCTTTGAAGGTATATCGGACCAACATGCATTAAAGGGATACTAGACTCTAGGATTTTACTGCATACAACTGTACTTACTGTATAACAAATCTTCTATACCCACACGTACTTGTTACCAGATACCTAATTTAATTGTTATAATTAATTATACATCAACGCTACAAAATTTGAACGGCGCCATTGACACCCGCGACCGTGCTGCCACTCTGAAAAAGTTGTGCATTTCCCAATATATTTTGCACGTTACAGACCGAGGGCTAATCACAGAGGTGCAATTATATTTATACCTAAATGCTATTTAACCGAACGATGTTCATTTTAGGACAAATTTATCCATAATATAACTGAAACTATATGTCGTTTATAAGCTATTACAATCCTTTTGCTTTTAAATTAATAAATAAGAAACGCCCTCGGTCTGTAGCCTTTGGCTGAAAAGTCGTTTTGCGCAAATTTTCAGATCGTGCGCTTTTAAGTGGCACCACCGTCGTTGTAATCAAACTGTAGTCTTTAGTTTTAAAACATTAAAAAAAATAATTCTAATGGTGATTGAACCATGAAACTTTTTATGTAGCGCAATTTTAACCTAAATTAACTGAAAATAACCCTAGAACCTAGAGTAAAGGATCCCTTTAAAGGCCTGTGGAGAACCCTGTTACAAATGAAAGCTGAAGATGTGTGGTTGCTACTGAAATATGCAATGCTCGGATATTTTGGTGCAACCTTCAGCTTGTTATTTTTTAATGTCGCTATTCAGAAACGGGTATTTATGTTTTGCACTTATAGGTGAAAAGAGATGGACGAGACTAAAAACTTCAGGTCAGATTCCAGGTAAGCTTTAGAGTCCTAATTACATGGTAGAGCATTTGTGAGCTTAATAGAATCTTTTCTATATACTTGATATTTACAGTACTATCTTAATGTTCGATAGCCTGTATGTTCGAGGCTGTATGTGTGTAGACGTACTCATTATTACTCCTACCAAAATGGATTCTCGAAGCGTAGCGAAAAATCTTGCAGTATGGTGTTCACAGAATTCTGCTGATTTCTAATCCTGACAGCATATATATATATGCATTTTAGTAAAATGTTGCACATGGTATTATCTGGTAGCATTAACACTCTCCCCCCCCCAAATCAATCAATGTATCTAATCAAAGAAGTGTTCTATGCAAGCATTTAGTTCTAAAAAATATTTACACTAGATATGCTTAACACAAAAGTTGCCCTGAGTTCTGATGTTTATATCGGTGAAAAGCACATTTATACAACAGTTTTGTACTGCGTAAACATTTGCTCAGCGACTCCACAATGACTCAACTTCTTAGCATTTATACCTGTGCGTCATTAAGACATGCAAAATAGTATGCAAAATTGCAAATTATCTGAAATCACTTGTGCCAAAATCTTTTAACAAAAGTAAGTTTTAAAATATTATTATTTTCTGCATGCTACTTTACTATTAGGTTAAAAAAAACTTTTCATTTAATTGTTGCACGAAGTATTGTCACAGATTAGCGAGTGTGCACTAATCTGAACCTTGGTGACACTGTTGCTGTGCTGTCTGCGCATGCACAAGTAAATTGTGAACGAATTTACATGTCTGTTCATTTACATTTTGCAAACTATATTTTCAAAGTTTTTATTTGCAAACAAAGTTTGTTTGTGATAGACATGGCATTTTTACGACATTATTATGCGGCAGTCAAGAAACGGTAGTGTCTATACAAACATTTTATGACAGATTTTGATTGGGGGGAATGCCGTTTTTAGTGAAGGGTTTTGAATATTAACGGCGAGTGTTTGGCGTGCAGGGGAGCGGGACGGTCACTCTGCCTGTCGCATTGGACACAAGATGTACGTGTTCGGTGGCTATGAGGAGGTGCTCGACAAATTCTCCAGAGATGTACACTGCCTCGACCTAGAGACGCACAGGTGGAAGAAGCTCTCTGTAACGGTATGTATCACACAGAACTGCCACTGTATAGGTATCGCTGAGGGCTGTCACTGTATGTATCACACAGAGCTGCCACTGTATAGGTATCGCTGAGGGCTGTCACTGTATGTATCACAGAGCTGCCACTGTATGCAGGGTGCGAAATTAACGCGAGTCCGGAGTCAAATACTCCCTGATTTGACATATATGCAGGAGTCCGTGTGACTCCCTGAAAATTCTGCTAGGCTAACTAGTTTGTTCCAGAGCACGGCCTCGCGGAATTGCCGTATTTTTTTAGCAGCAAATGTTCAAAGACAATTTGGCAGACGTGCAGCCGCATGAATCTTCAAAATAAGCACACGCGTTATTGTTAATATTTTAAGTTTTGAACTTGAGACTGCGGACTCCCTCATTTTGTTGCGGACTCCCTCTTTTTGAGGGCAGGGAGTCCATTGGACTCCCTTGTTCAAAAGTTAATTTCTACCCCTGTGTATGTATCGCTCAGAGGCTCAGGTGTACATTGCTCGATCTTCATTGTTCACTTGTAGCTTGTTCACCCACGACGTTTCTTGCACTTTTAGATTTACTTTAAGTTTTGCATCCATGTTTCGTGTTTTGAGTGTATGTTGTAGATACATGCTTCTGTGATTTCTGCCTCTACAGGGTACACCAGCTACATGGCGAGATTTTCACTCGGCTACTGGCATCGGCACCAGAATGTATATATTCGGTGGGCGTGGTGACAGCCTCGCACCTTACCACTCTACGCAGGAGGTGGGTGCTCCTGTTTTGGTTGCAGTGTGGTTGGTGGATTATAATAGATTTTTTTCAATTAGAAGAAGAAGATTGGTTGCATCGTGAAGGTTCTTGCTGCACGTTATAGTGTTTTACTCTGCAGCTCTGTCATGCAGGTTCTGTTGTTTTATTGTGCAGATATACTGCAACCGGATTCACTTCTTCGACACCGTATCGCTGACGTGGCATACGCCGTGCACGACCGGTGTGATACCGCGAGGCCGACGCAGTCACTCTGCCTGTATGTTGCATCCATCACCCGCTGTTTGCGAGCTGAGTGTGGTGAGAAAACTTCACCCCTCCATCTCCCTGCCGAGGCTTGCGCACTTCACATCCGTTCCTCAAACATCTGTTAAGTCAACTGTTAATCGTGACAGTTTGCCCCTTACTTTTTGTTCACATGTGGTGCTTTGTGATGCATGTGTACACCCTCTGTGTATGAATGTCTATCTGTGTGCACTAGACGAAGGTGTATATCGTTCCCAGTAGATAAGATCACCTTATCTATTTTCAAGTATTTCTGTTATTAATTATGTATATGTGATTAAATTATTGGTATTTATTAAATTATATATAATTAACTTATACACTTACCTAACTAGAAAGTGCACAATAGCTGTCCTTTTATTCCTCAAAATTTCATTGATCTATTCAGCAAATTAGTCAGGCCACCTATCTCTCTACCTCCAAGTTCTTGGCTTCCTTACTGCATATAGTATGTTTCAAACTATATGTTATATAATAACTTCATTAAATCATGCACCTTTTGCAAAAGTAAGAATGTGCTCATTTGTGTTTCATGCAATTAAGCATCTCAGAACGCTCACTGTTTTCAATATCACATGGTGTGCTCATGCTATCCTGTTTTTAGCAGGCTCTGTGATAGCCATGCACGTGTATATTTCTAGTCGTATACAAGGATAATCTGTTCGTCTTCGGAGGCTACAACAGTCTGACAGACCAACACTTCTCTGACATGTACAAGTACGACCCGGGTATGTATCTGTTATCTTTATCCTGCTGATACCACAGCATCTGTAACATTATGATATATTGTATGAATCATGATTTGTTCTGTTGCATTCAGAAAATATAGGATTCCTATGGAGCTCAATTTCCCTACTTCACACTAGTTGCACACATTATTTTTGTTGATATTTTTCAACTGCAGGCAGTGCAGCTATAGACAGACAAAAGTATAGACATGCACTTAGGGACTATATTGTAATTCCTACTGCGTGCAGTATTTTCTTGTTGTTTGGCCATATTTTCTTGTTGTTTACCACCAATTGCTAGTATAAGTACAATCATGATACAGAGGAACAGGTTGTGATTGAGCTCTGAGCATTAGTTATGGATCCTTCCACACTAAAGCAGCATCGTTTCTCAATTTATATATATATATATAGCTGTTTGCGAGCTGAGTGTGGTGAGAAAACTTCACCCCTCCATCTCCCTGCCGAGGCTTGCGCACTTCACATCCGTTCCTCAAACATCTGTTAAGTCAACTGTTAATCGTGACAGTTTGCCCCTTACGTTTTGTTCACATGTGGTGCTTTGTGATGCATGTGTACACCCTCTGTGTATGAATGTCTATCTGTATGCACTAGACGAAGGTGTATATCGTTCCCAGTAGATAAGATCACCTTATCTATTTTCAAGTATTTCTGTTATTAATTATGTATATGTGATTAAATTATTGGTATTTATTAAATTATATATAATTAACTTGTACACTTACCTAACTAGAAAGTGCACAATAGCTGTCCTTTTATTCCTCAAAATTTCATTGATCTATTCAGCAAATTAGTCAGGCCACCTATCTCTCTACCTCCAAGTTCTTGGCTTCCTTACTGCATATAGTATGTTTCAAACTATATGTTACATAATAACTGCATTAAATCATGCACCTTTTGCAAAAGTAAGAATGTGCTCATTTGTGTTTCATGCAATTAAGCATCTCAGAACGCTCACTGTTTTCAATATCACATGGTGTGCTCATGCTATCCTGTTTTTAGCAGGCTCTGTGATAGCCATGCACGTGTATATTTCTAGTCGTATACAAGGATAATCTGTTCGTCTTCGGAGGCTACAACAGTCTGACAGACCAACACTTCTCTGACATGTACAAGTACGACCCGGGTATGTATCTGTTATCTTTATCCTGCTGATACCACAGCATCTGTAACATTATGATATATTGTATGAATCATGATTTGTTCTGTTGCATTCAGAAAATATAGGATTCCTATGGAGCTCAATTTCCCTACTTCACACTAGTTGCACACATTATTTTTGTTGATATTTTTCAACTGCAGGCAGTGCAGTTATAGACAGACAAAAGTATAGACATGCATTTAGGGACTATATTGTAATTCCTACTGCGTGCAGTATTTTCTTGTTGTTTGGCCATATTTTCTTGTTGTTTACCACCAATTGCTAGTATAAGTACAATCATGATACAGAGGAACAGGTTGTGATTGAGCTCTGAGCATTAGTTATGGATCCTTCCACACTAAAGCAGCATCGTTTCTCAATTTATATATATATATATATATGAGCAATGGTAAATGAGTGATAATTTCTAAAAATGATGCCACAGTGTATTTTTGGTATTACAATATAAGTTTAGCCTATGTATCCATCTTCAAAGAGATAGTATTGCTCTATTATTTATAATGTAGGTTTTATTATGTTTATTATTGGTTACTTATCTTCATGATCTAATAGGTAATTGCACCCCCCCCCCCATAACTGCAAGCTACAGCCTTAGCCCGAATAGTTGCATCCATGTTATTGTTTGCAGAAAAAAGTCATTGGTCAAAAGTACGTGTGCATGGTTGTGGACCATGTCCCCGACGAAGACAGTGCTGCTGCCTGGTGGACGACAGAGTGTTCGTGTTTGGAGGCACGAGTCCTTGCACTGTCAAGAGTCAGTGTGTCGAATTTAATCTCATAGATCTTTCTGATCTCCACGTTTTGGACTTTTGTAAGTATACAGAACGTGTTGCATAAGCATGTAGTGTGATATTGTATTTATTATTATGCATAATATACAGGGCTTCTTCTGAGGGAAAATTAGATAAAGGAGGTAATGGCCAGTTTGGGAAAAAAATGGATGATGGATTCAAATACAAGATGTATTGATATATTACTTAGGCCATCCTTAAAAAATTATATGTTTGCTGTCCTCCGACCGACTCACGAAAATAGCCGCGACCCAAAAATTTTTTTTTTACATTTTGGTTTCTTCTTTTTTTTTTTACATTTTTCATGAAGAACTGAACTGACTGAAATGACTGAAACACAAAGCATGTGTGGCAAACATGAGGACAGACTTAAGATAACTATTATGCCTCACACAAAAAAAGACCTACCTACCTACCCACTAAAAAAATCAAGGGTCGGGGGACAGCAAACATAGAATTTTTTAAGGATGGCTTTATCAGTACATACAGGAGCATTTTCACAACGGCGATGTTAAATTTGACAACGGTGGTGCGCCACTGTGCCTCCTATGTATAAGAAACCCTGATATACCTATACCGTTAATTCGAAAATGTTGTATAGTATATGTTCCTGGTTTTATCTTATGTTCAGCATAATATTGTATTTCACCAAATATCCAGCACAGTACTGTATATTAATCACACTCTACCAGTGGTATTAGGGAGTGGGCGCCAGAGCTGTGTTTCTCACATACCCGTCTGCTATTTCATCACTGCTATTTCCGAAAGTAGCCCACTAAATAGCAGAGGATACAAAGGAAATGTAAAACTATTACAATGTATTGAAGTAAGCAGGCAATGGATAGAGAGGATGTCATGATGGGAGGAAGATGAGGGAGGAAGGGATGAGTTGGGGAAGAAGAGCATTGGAGTAGAGGAGGTGGGGCGAAGAACACCAGTATGGGAGGTCTCAATTTTTGTCCTCTTTTTCCTTCATTTGTCTTCTCTCCTCCTCTCTTTTCTTGATCTCTGTCTTTTCTCCTCTCATCCTACTCTCTTTCTCCTTCTCTCTGCCCATCCGTCTTAACCTTCTTTCCCCTCTCACATTATATCTCTTCTTCATTCTTCTTCAATTCTTTCTCTGTGCAATAGCCCACTGCATGGTTTGTCTATTTTTTACTAGTGATATGTTAGAAGGTAACCTAGCAATATGGCTTCATTATTGTTGTTGCTGCTAGCAGATGCCAGTTATCTGGTAAATAGTGACTGATAGCATATATGAAAAGTTCAAGAAATGCAAGTTCTTGGTTCGCTAAAGTTCTGCGTCATCATTCTGTTCAGTTAATTACGAACGTGTAAGTTTAGTGGATCTTTGTTTTAAATGCAGCCTTGTACCATCACACTTGCATACTGCACCTTGTTGAACGAATATTACTGGTTTTTAGCACCAAGCCTGAAGACTTTGTGTATGGTGAATGCCGTCCGTCTAAATCTGGATAGGACCTACCTGCCTTCTGATATTAGGTGTGTAAAGTTTGATGCATTCAACTGTTGGCTCTCATGTGGACCATGAGTAGCATCATCTAGTAGCAGAAAGTAAGCTTTTCTGAAACGCGAAAGTGTCACCAAAATTTTGCTATCTGATGCCAATAATATGTCTCCCTGACTTGCACCCTATATTATTTTTGTAGGTGGGAGATAACAGCAATGACATCAAACAGTAACATCAGCAGATCCCTCACGACTTCAGGCTGAGTTCTCTATGATTCATCACAAACACAGCGTGATACAGTAATATAATTTCTTGCATTATAGTCTTGTTCGCCCTAACCTTTAGAATTGTAAAACCTAGCAACAGGGTTTTGATAACCTTACTGAGAGCTCATTGCTGTCGAAAAATACATTTCAAGTACTTTGTGCTGAGGTTGGTATCATTATCAGAGAAAGGATATTAGATAAGTGTATACACGTAATTTATAATAACAATTTCGAACTCGTGTCTGTTTTTTTTATTTCATGTAAGGTCTAGTGTAACGGTGAATCGCAATGATATTGAAAATTGTTCACATTTATTCCACACAATCTCTTTAGTACGTGTTATCAGATACAAATCAAGGCAGAAAGGTACCACTTTGTATTCATGAAAATATCCCTACTCAATCAAATAACCTAAACGCATTATAGAATAATTGGCCAGGTGCTAAGCTGTATCTGGCTGGCCCAGCATCTGTGCTACAGAGCAAGGCATACATGCCCTGCTGTCAGACGAGGGGCTTTTGAAAGACGATTTCTTTCAACGATAAACGAGCAGATAAAGAGACGTTTATCTCTTAACTACCATAGGCGAAGGAGCCTTGGAACGCCAAGGAAGTACACCCCTAGAGAAAAAATTAGGTTAGAGCTGTATAAACGCTGGAACTCTTCACTAAGTTTCTTCTGGCAACACCTGCGGCTGACCTAGTACCAGACACTTCGATTTACCTTTCCCCTGGATCACACTATAGTGAAGTTGAGAGGAATAGCCTGAAGATAGACCTAGTCACGGTGTCTGTGCACATACTCAGGCACATCATGGAGAGGAGACTCAGTTATAAAGGTAGACACCACATAGACGTCATCAGTCATCAGGTTTAAGTCTCCAGTTCTACTGGCGTAGAACCAGACGCCAGGGGTTGATCTCAAACTGGGCAGCTACCTGTAAATAAGGTGCTGTACTGCCACTGGCTGTTTGTCTTGACTGATGGACGCAGGACAGACTCGGGGCTTTTTTAAATCTAACAATAGGTCATTGTCCCTGCACCAATCACTACCGCCGCCTCTTGAAGCAGTGAAGAAGTTTACCTACTCTGATTTCATGAAAGTTTATAAAAAATACATGGCTCTATTGTATTTACATAAACCTACTCACGCAACTCATTCTGGTGGAACAGTAGTAAAAGTTTTTGAAAAGCAAGTATGAGTTTGAGATTAATACAAAGATCCTAGCATTTGAGTTGTAAGCTTTTGCAGTCAAGTGTATTTGAAATGGGCACAATTTTCATGGTTTTCCAGTGGTACATTTCTTTTTATCTTTTTTTTCTGCTGATACACCTGCCTTTGCAGGTGGCAGTAACCTGAGGTGGCAGTACTTTTGCGTTTAGTACAAATCATGCTATTCGATCACTTTATTGCTGCAAGATCTTGATTTTGACGCGAAAACTGTAAAATGTCGGCAACATAATCATCTATGTACGCAATATTCCTTAAAACTGTACAGGTTGTGAAATTACCTTATTTTTCAGAGAAATATGCCAGTCTAAGCCTGTCACAGTATTCTTTTCTGAAAATATGCATATTTAACCTTTACGCAGTGGCATAGCATGATGCTAGCCACGATTATAATGATGATGATGATGATGATGATGATGATGATGGCGATGGTGGTGGTGGTGGTGGTGATGATGATGATGTCGGTTGTTGACAATGAAGATGATGACGGCAGCTATAGAGGACGAACAAGATAATGCGGATGATGATTGTGATGCTGACACTCACAGTAGTCATAACAATGCCGGCAATGACAATGACGCTGACGGGAATGAAGGGCGATAAGTCAGTGCCATTGAAATGTCACCCTGTGACCATAGTCGATTATACAAACATGGTCACATGCATTTATGCTTTCGTCGGCCTAGATTGAGATTAATGTATGCATAGGTTTTTGCTCTTGAAATATTTATGTGAATTGCAGTGCATGGTGACATGATTGTGTACATGGGCCGATTTATATAGTAGTCCGGTTTGCCTTGTACCAGTTTGAGCCTTGCTTAGTTTTTATACGCAATACGACCGGAGCTAATACAAATACAGGCTGTGTTTGGAACTTTGGGTTTGGACAGATTGCAGGCACACTGATCATTCCAATAATAATCATTCCAATTCATAATTGCACTACCGTGCCGAGATTCTAAGTAGAATTACCAGGTGAGATGGAGTACGAAAACATTAGGACTTTAGTACTTAGTAGTTTCAATTTGGTTACTATAATTTTATTATTGAAATGACCAAGGTGCCTGTTGCACAGTTTCGCAAAGAGGTGACAGTGCTTGAGATATTATTTTACTACTATTAAAAGTGGAAAACTGACATCGCAGTCGTAGGCAGTTGGAGATGCCGTGTTGAATATATATATATTTGTACACGTATAAATATATATATATATATATGTATAATATATATATATATATATATATATATTGCTAATGAGGGTAGACATGTAGGCACAGTGAGTTGCATTTGTGTTTGTAACAGCTAAGATTGATGGTGTCTATTTGTTAATTTCATAACGATGTTTTATATAGGTGTAATAATTACTAGACCAGCTACTCGTGTTCTCTATATTTTTTGCAGGGGATGAATGTAGCAGATGTGTATTGGTTGCATTTTGGATGCCAACATAGCTATATATATATATATATATTACTAGCGTCCTGACTGTACAGCAAGTATCATAGTAGTTTCTAGGAGCGCGAATATAGGTATAATATTGGTTTGTTATTGGAGTGTACAGTAGATAATTCCAGTACCATAGTTCGTTGGCCACACGTGAACACATTGCGAGTTCCTGTCCCTTCCTTCTGGTTTTGTAGGGCTTGATAGTTTCTTGGCAGACTACCGGTTACGTTGGTTTCTTGACGTGGCTACCACAGTTTTTAATATTCATCTCGACTGACCAGACGTTCTGATTTGATTTGATCGAGAGCACATGAAGCGTTTATCTGCTCTTGATTGGATCTATCTTAACTGAATACAAGCATTGAACTCTTGGTAGAGTCTTGACACACCAGACGTCTTAATATTTGAATCTTCTTTCTATTCGATATATTGTTTCGTTGATTTAAATAAGGTTATCAAGAGGTTTTACGAGTAACATTATTGTTTTCTTTTTGTGTTTGATCCGCTTTGGTGATGGCATATAATGGGAGTGTAATTGAGTATATATCTCTTAATGCCTACAGGTGCGTTTTAAAGTCGTTATACATTGCACTAGTTAGCAATCTGTAAATAGTATTGTTTAACACGTAGTCATAATGTTTGTATGAATCGGATGGGTTCGGTTTCGTGTGTGATTATTCGTGTTTCGTTTGTTATTCACCACGAATCCAGGTTCAGCCTGATTAAAAAATTCATTGTTCGCTATTCATTGATCATGTTTATCTATGTATTCATTGTAAACCGTTTGTCTCAGTCAATGCATAAATACCTAATTTCCCCTCATTCCTGGTTAGGGATATAGGGGTTTGCCCGCACACGTTTACGTGCATTAATTCCTATTTTAACTAGCAATTATTTAACCAACCGGTCTAGACTCTAGATTACTCTTCACACAAGTTTTAGATATGGTAATATAAAGAGCCTAGAATACTATAACAATAGTAACAGTATTGTGGACTTTTAACAATATCTCGAACGAGTCCGCGTTTCAGGGACCTCTGCTCGAGGTCAAAGTCACTGTTTTTAGCTCATCTGACATAGTCAGATGCAGCTTGTAGAATCGCTTGATCGTCCGTCCGTCCGGTCGGTCGTCCGGTCGTCCGTCAACAGTTGGGCACAAATCTTAACCGCTCGACGTACGGTCACGATATTCGGGTCGTTGGGGGGGTTGTCAAAACGAGTTGGGATGTCGAAGCTGGGGGTCAAAGGTCAAAGGTCAAGAGGTGTAAAAGAAGGGGGAACATTCACTCCTTAACTTAAGGTATAGGGAGGAAATGCAGAATTGCGGCACAAATCTAAACGGCTCGACCTAGGCTCGTGATAGTCGGTGTATAGCATCATGGTAGGAAAAGCCATCACTGTGCCGAAATTGGAGGTCACAGGTCAAAGGTCAGTGGGCACAGGGCAGTTTAGACATTTTCTGAGGACATGGTCTGACGGAGCGATTGAAAAACTTTTTTGTTTCAGCGGTGACCTAGCATTTTTATGGCTTTATTGAAAGGACCATGAAATGTCCCTTCTGCTGACATGCGAAGAGTAAGTGTCGGATAACCTTTTGACCCTCAAGAGGAGGGTTAAACTTGGATTTGTTGACTGTCTGTTAGAAAGAATTTGACTGCCGGGTTTGTTAGTAGAATCTATACATGCCTGGATGTATGAGGCTACAATGTCACAGTGAAATTTCAAAAGCTAAATTTGGTTAAAGAAGGTGTATGTTCCTTAAATCGTATAATTTCTATGTCATTCTGTACTGTCAGTATGTTACATGTAACGTATGCCACTGCCAGTGGCTGCTGCCAGTGCATGTGTTGGGGCAGTTTTTGCCTGCGTTAATTGGTTGCAGGTGGCAGCTCTCTATTGCAATTTGCAGCCTGTAGGCTTGCGTAGGTAAATGGATGAGTGCTTACCTATTCTGTCTTGCAAATAGTTGTTGCTACTACGAATGATGGGAGCTTCCATCTTTAATCTGAAGACACTTAAACGTACGTGCCATCTCGTGGCAACTTTCATAACGATCCCAACGAACATTCTTTTGAGAAGGTTCCTGATACCATCCCTGTGCATTCCACTGTTTCGGCGTGTATGTGAACACATTTGGGACTAACAGGGTTTACTAGAATCCCTCCACTCCACCACAGAGTCACCGCAGTAGACGTTAGATGAGCGCTGTCGCTATGCGGCACTTGTTAGAAAAGGTATCTCATCACTCTAGAGAAATTATTTTCGTGAGAACTCTGATGATACGCGAAACAAGCTTGCGTTTCAGGATATTGCGCTCAAGATCAAGGTCAGTGTTACTTTTTTATGAAAATTCACTCAATCAATCAATCTAGTGACTTTATTTGTGACCCGATCTGGCAAAATGAGTCACAGTGACCCAAAGTTGATAATTGAGTTATTCACACCGCTAGAAAGAGGGTACTGCACGCTTTAAAATGATGCCAAACGTGTTTCATTATCTTTAACGGTCTTCGATTTATGCTCATTTGAAGTTTGTATTATTCCAGACAAAAATGTAGAAAAAGACATTTAAATTTTGGGGAGTGAATGTGATGATACCTCTTCCATAAGTCCTTAGAAACGATAGGGTTACACTTGCAGTGGCGGATCCAGATTTCAAGGAGCGGGGGTAAGAAACAGGCGGGGCGCGCCGGAAGCAGTTTTGGATTGGAGGGGGCAAAGACCTAAGGGGGCTCACGATTTTTTTTTATCGTGTGTGCGTGAGCGCGTGTGCGCGACGTGTGTACGTGAGCGCGTGTGCGTGAGCGCGTGTATGCGTGAGCGCATGTGTGTGACGTGTGTGCGTGTGCGCATGTGTGCGACGTGTGTGCGTGAGCGCATGTGTGCGACGTGTGTGCGTGTGTGCATGAGCGCGTGTATGCGGTGACGTGTGTGCGTGAGCGCGTATGTGCGACGTGTGTGCGTGAGCGCGTATGTGCGACGTGTGTGCGTGAGCGCGTATGTGCGACGTGTGTGCGTGAGCGCGTATGTGCGGCGTGTGTGCGTGAGCGCGTGTGTGCGTGAGCGCATGTGTGTGACGTGAGCGCGTGTGTGCAGCGTGTGTGCGACGTGTGTGCGTGAGCGCGTGTGTGCGGCGTGTGTGCGTGAGCGCGTGTGTGCGGCGTGGGGGCGTGAGCGCGTATGTGCGGCGTGTGGGCGTGAGCGCGTGTGTGCGGCGTGGGTGCGTGAGCGCGTATGTGCGGCGTGTGGGCGTGAGCGCGTGTGTGCGACGTGTGTGCGACGTGTGTGCGTGAGCGCGTATGTGCGGCGTGTGGGCGTGAGCGCGTATGTGCGG